AATCTTTCTTAGCAGTAGGGCAAAACTGCTTCTGAAGGACTTGGGTGCAATGCGTTTCTGTGCAAGACGTATCTGTTAAGCTTAGGTAACCTACTGCAATGCTAAAAGGAAAATATATTCTATTCAAAAAGTTTCATCCTTCAATGTCCAAATATATTTCAAAACTACATACTTTGCAAAATCACCTTTCACAGCAACGGCTCAGCAGGCTTACAAATAGTTCTGATACACTTTGAAATCTTCCTATCTAAAACTTTGGTTCATGCAGCTTTATTAGGGCCTGCTATCCTTCTGAGGCCTATGGACGCTGATAGTCCAATAGGCTATTTTTCCATTTCTCACATATCATTTCATCTCTGTTGTGATGAACTCAGTGAGAACTCAGTGAGAACTCAGTCCAGTATGGCTGGCCCTCTAGTTCCCTTCTCTACCTTTTGGGAGACAACCTTGTCTGCTAGGTTTGTCAGGAACCTGTTTGATCTTGGTGCAGAGTTTGTCCCCAGGTGATGTTGGGGTACTTAAAGTTCCCCATTGCTATTGTGCTGTGCTTCCTACATACTTTAGTTCACTGATTAGCAAAAAGTTCATTTATTTCCTCTGTTTGGTTGGGTGGCCTGCGGTATATACTGTAGCTACAGCAATGTCTCCTGGAGAACTGCAGGAGCTTGACTATGTTGTCACCAGCAGTAAAGCCTGACTCGAAGTTCAAAAGTGAAAAAAATAAAAATAATCAAAACCAGAATCTGAATGGAAGCAATAATATTGGCATATTTTACACTTACGCGGCTGGCCTACGTCTTGACTGATGTTCATACTTGTTCTTTGTAAAGTAACTGATCAAAAAATTTGAAACCAAAAACAAATGAATGATAGGACTTCAGGACAAGTTGATTGGTATTCCTCTCTGGAGAGGTGTGAAAGAAATCTGGGTTCCAATTGTCTATTATTATTATTATTATTATTATTATTATTATTATTATTATTATTATTATTATTATTATTATTATTATTATTATTATTATTATTTTGTTGTGGTGGTGATGGCGATTTGTAATTGTACTTGCTTACTTGTTTGCTGACTGTACACTGCCCATAATCACAGTTGTCCAAGATGGACAACCATCTAGAGTGCAATGAATCTGATTGCTCGTTATTCCCCTGACACGCAGTTCATCATGCCAAAATAGTCTCTCTCTGCAATTTGGCCTAATTGGCAAAGAATCACTGCTGAGGCTCCTGCGGGGACTTTTATTGTATATGAAAAATCTCTTCCAGCTGTAGGTCTGCTATCTCATTAGGCAAATACATTCTGTATGGGTCTCATCAGCCCAAATGTCTATTAAACCCACAATGTGGCAGTTCATGGAGGATATTTATGAGGTCTATGGAGGTTCTTAATCATTCAGATCATGGTTGCCCCAAAGATGCTTTTTTTTCCCCCAAAAGCAAGTGGACTTTCTTGATTTGTCTTCCTTTGAAAATGTTTCGCCTCTCATCCAAGAAGCTTCTTCAGTTCAAAGTAAATATTTGAAAAGGATTTCATTGTGGCATAAATATGAACAGTAACAAAAATGTTATTAAAATAATCCAGGAACCAAAATATACATTGCACCAGTGGCAAATCTGCATCTCTCTGAAAAGAAATTGAAAACAAGTCTAAACTTCTTAATCTGTAAAAAATATTGATATAAAATAAGACACTTCGGGGGGAAAAATCTCCATAGTTTTGCTGCCATCTACTGTCTTTTATTTGATCTTTTCAGCAAAAGCAGCGTTAATGAAGAGAAAAGATTGGCACATTGTTCCAAACCTCAGTGGAAATCAGAGTTTTTGTCTAAGCCTGCTTTAATATCACCCTACAGGACCAGAACGTTGGTTGGTTGGTTGGTGGCGGATACAGCGGAAGAGTGTCAGAGCTGCCTCCTTCCCTTGCAACTGTGCCTTGCTTAGATGCCACTAGTCTCCATACGCCGTAATGGGAGGGATCTGTGGGAAGGGGGAGGACTGAAAGGGAGATGGTTTCTGTTGTCCTGAGACATGCCAAGGCCATGGACCTGGGAACGGAATGTAACATCTCTCCATCTATCCAATCCCTGCAGGGACAGTTACAAAAACATCTTTGAACGTGATTGGACGGGGGGGGGTTAAGGGGGGGGGGGGGTTGGAACAAAAAAGGGAAAGTTAATTATGGAATCTTTGTGTGCAAACTCTTAGTTCCGCCTTTGCTTACTGTAACCACTTGGCTTTTAGTAAAAGTAATCTTTTCGCTACAAATAAAGTTAAGAGTGTTTCTTTTCCTAAAGGACCAAGCTGGGCCAAGTCTGACAGAAAGAGAAAGGGAGGGAGAGAGAAAGATGGAGACGGGCAAAGAGGGAAAGGGAGGGGTAGAGGGAGACAGAGAGAGTGGGGGGTAGAGGGGAAGAGAGGGGGAGAGACAGAAAGAGGGAAAGAGGGAGAGAGGAAGAGAGGTGGAGGTGATGGGAGAGGTGGAGGGAGAGGGAGATTCCCAGAGGTATAAACCTTGAGCTCTTTCAGCCAAATAAATCTTTGGAGAGCATGCATTCATGTTGGAAGCACCGAGGTGCTTCCAGATTGAAAGATTAGCCAGTGGCATCACCTTGCCCAGGGGACGCTTGATTGGGGACTCCTTTCATTTCCCCATTAATGTGCCCACTGAAGTGCTACCTATCTCCCAAACTTGCTCCCAAATTGCTAGGTGGTCAGGAGCTGGAGCGAATGGCAGGAACTCAGCCCATCATGCGGCAGCATTTGGGTCTCAAACACAGGCTTGTTGACTGTCAACCCAGTCTCCTAACCACCTGAGCCACTATGCTCCTTGTCTTTGAAAAAATGGTCGAAGAATTCCTGTGGATATTCTAATTCACAATACATACAACAGCAGGATGGCATCTTCATTCTTTATCTGGTATTATCACAGTAGCAACTGTAATTAGAAAATAATCGATTAGGCGTTGTGTTTTTCCACCCTAAACTTAGCTATTTCATTATTGTTTAATCTTGAGAACATCACCTCATACTTTATAAGGAAAACCAGAAATGCCATAGTAGGAAGAGACTTCAATCAGCTGGGTCTGTATCTATTCGGACCTGTGTAGATATTGTCACCTACAGAGTGAGCATTATAATCCTACTTCACACCCCTTTGAAACACAAAGAATACTGATAATATTCTTAGGGTTTGTGCCTTTCTCCCTATGAGTCAAAGTCTTGGTGTTGGTTGATTTGGTGGGACCACAAATGTTGGGGTGAATGTGTGGTGAAGGAGAATCAGCTGTAGGTTTAAAATAAGCAGTAGATTGTGGCCTTGGAGATAATTTCTTCAGGATATCAACCACATTACTTATAGTATAACTATCTCAGTTTGCCCTCTACCAACCTAACAATACCCTCTTGCCTCTAAGCAGTCTTTTTATGAGAGAATCTCTGATGCTTACCCACAACTTCAAATGTATCCACTAGCTAAAGTCCTGTACATTAGAACTGTCTACCGTAAATTGTCAACTATTCATAAAAATGCTGACATTCGTAAGAAATTCAGACTATCAGTCATGCCATGAGCAAATCTTAAGGGGTATCACTGTTTCATAAAATGTCAACTTGAATTCCAATGTCATGGGCAGTTCTCATTTCTATATGCATCGGATTCAGTGAAATCCCATGTTCTGTTTAATTTCTTTCTTTTTTTTTGAAAAAAACCTGTCCCTATATGATTCCCTCAGACTCATCAATTAATAAAGGAAAACCACCTGCATCAATAGATCTAACCAAATAGTAGTGCATCCAAATGATACAACAGTGCTTCACACCCTCCAAAAAGGAGAGCATATCAGGGAGCAACTTAATGACACCCATCCCACTCAACGGTTACATTTTTTTTTTTTAGCAAAAACCAAAGTTAATCGATGTTTTCAAGGAACAACTGACATTCTTTAGTTAGACCAAAGTGATGTCTGTCAAAAAAACAATAACAGAGGAATGGGTCCTGTTTTGTTTTCCCACTGACAAATGAATTGTTGAATCGGGTATGTCGAAGCAGAGCCATAAGAGAGAGGGCTGCTTGATCTCTGAGGGATTGATAAGGCACTCAATCTTCATAGGCTTTTTATTATATTTATTTTCAGGTCAGAAGCAACCAACATTTCCATGAATCCTGGTGCAGATGAAGTAGCAAATGGTTGTGAAGGACATCAGGAAGAACCACTACCAAGATCTGATAAAAAGACTGGCTTGAGGAGATATTTCAGATGCGGCCTATCCAAGTTCACACCAAAATCAAACGAAGGAAGAAGGGGAAGCACATTCGGACTTGCAAGATTCTGTTACTGTAGTTATTACAATATACAGTAAGCGTTCTTCAACTATACGGCATTGGCTGCTCTATTTAATAAGGATGACACTGGCTTATAACGGAGAAAATAAAATGAGTTCTCTAAATGTTGACCACATCTTTGTACATCTTGGTGAGGTAACATCATCAGTGCACTGCCTAATCTGGTAACGAGTGTCTGTTGGAAAACAATTTTTTGGTTTGTCTCTGGAGATTTTCAACCATTCAGGTCATGGTTTTCCCAACGTTGCTTTTCCAAAAGGCACCTGGACTTTCTGAACTTTCTGAACTGAAGAAGCAAAATGTGTTCAAAGGGGAAAAAAAGAACAAAGTCCAGTTGCCTTTTGGAAAAACACCTTTGGGACTGGTTTTAACATCTTCGATTGCAATATTTTTACTGGATGTCGATGTGATTTTTATCTCTTGGTTGACAGCAGCCCAGAGTTCAGTGCAAGAAGGGTGGCTATATAAATGTTTTCAATAAACAGTTACTGGAACAGCTAGAATCCAAAAGTTCGTGTCTGAGGTAAAGAGATTCTCTACTATCATGGAATGGACTTCAAAACTGAGAGAGGAAGAGACACCATAATATACATCAGCTTCAACATATATATATGTAAACACATTTCTTTATTGATCTGAATTCATTTTGCCAAAAGGAAAAATAGGTCTAAGATGCCAGATGGGTACGTATGACATTTCAGTATCCAGCTGACTTCTTTCCCTCTAATCCTTTAGTTTACAAATCCCTTTTAAGAAACACACAACATTTAGAAACTGATAGGGATAAAACAATGTGAGGTTGTGAAAGAGAACTTGAATTTAGATTGAAACCCCAGTCCTAAAAATGCTATTAGTATCTCTCTCACACAAAAGTAACTCCCTTCCACACAGACACACAATGCAGCCTTACTCAGCCTTCGTGCCCTTAAGGCTTTGGTTTAAAATCTACTTCCTTCCTGAAATGTACAGAACATATAAACAAGTATCTCCTGCTTCTCCATTTTCTCTTCTCTCCTTCATCCTTCTTGGTTTCATACTCTCATTTATTTATTTATTTATTTATTTTAAAAACCCGTTCTTCCAAAGAATATTAATGGAGCCATTATTGGATTATTGGGATCTTGGAATCAAAGGGGAGAAGTCCCAGAAAACTTGCTCATAATATATTTACGCTACTGAAATTTTAACTTAAAAAAGAATGTCAGTAAAGCTATACATTCTGTTTTTGTATGAAACGTGTGTGTGTGTGTGGCATGAGAGACCTCAGGCAAAAGAGGGACTGCCAAATACAAAGACAGAATTACACTTGTCAAGTTGTGGAGAAGCCAGTATCAGCAGAAATACTCATTCAGCTGTCCATCTGCCTTTGCAACTGCTTCAGAGTCCACACTGGATCTTGATGAGAGTAACCTATTAGACTCATCGGGGATGTGGTGAGTCAAGTATTCTCCTCCCATCTCCTTCATTTTGGTTCCTGGAGAGATGGCTTCAAAAGTGACGTAAGAATCCTGAATGTCTTTGGGTTTCTGAACAAAGTATTTTCTGCAGCGTCTCTTCAAGGCCCCGCAACAGACCACCAGGGTGAGAGGGACAGCGATGACACAGGCCACACTAATGACCACCACGTTGATCAGTTTCTGGGTTCCACCAGCACTGGCAACTTCATCTGTTGAGAAAATGATGCACTGTTCCTTCTTGGGTATGAGTCCCTTCACGCAGACACATGCGATGTATTTGGTCTTGGGCATCAAACCGTTGATGGTGGTCCTGGTCTTCTTCGGCTCCACGTTGATTCTGTGCATGTCCCTTTCTCCAAAGATGGCATAAAGGATGCTAAACATGGTGCTATTGTTGGCCTGAGGAGCTTTCCAAGCCAAGGAGACGCTATGGTCGGTGTCTCCGATTACTCTGACTGACCTCACCAGGCATTTGGATTCTGGGTTAGTAGTGGGTAGACTTGCTAAAATATTTTGGGGGTCGCTTTTCATATTTAGGGCCTGATCTCGAAGCACCAGATTCCTCTCTGTGTTGGCCTGACCTGAAATAATGTGCAAAGTTGGAAATGTTGAAGTTGTCATGATGTGTCCTCCTACCAAATTGTCCTTGAAAGCTGATGTTTCTATCCCCTTGATGTGTCCTTTCCACACTCCTTTCAAATCTGCCCCGGGATCATCTATGCTCTTAGAATCGGTGACAATCAAGGAGATAAAAGCTTCAGTGGCTCCAAGAAAGTTTGCAGCCTTGCAGATGTACTCTCCAGAATTAAGGTAAGAAACAAGTGAAAGTTCTAAAATAGACCATCTTATTCCGTCACTAGAAATTTCTTGATGCACTGGAGAGAGGAGAGATAAAAGTTACAAAAATAAGCTGTTGGAAAATGTTGTATTTGATGGGTTACATTTGTAAGGAATTTATTTGTAACGGTATTTGTATTTTTATTGTCATTTTTGTTTTAGGGGATTGTTTCAATTAGTTATGAGCTAACTGATTCAAATAATTCTAATGGTGTAGTTCGGAAAAATGCAATCAATTAAGAACAGAAGTGTTTTTCAAGGTGTACTTATTTAATCTGTTATATTTATAGTGTTTTGGAAAGGGACAAGAAGAGATAGGATAGAAAATGAGATTGTATAGCATCTTGGATTCAAAATCAAAAGGGTGCTTTGGAGCAAAATAGATATATCTGTGTAACATTGACCTGCATTTCTTTAAAGCGAATGCATATTTTTGTGGAATTAATTTGCAACTACAGTTCTCTTTCCTGGAAAAAGACACAACTGCTTTAAGGAATTGCAGACCAATCCTTGGAGCAGGTCCTCACATGTTATAGCCTCCTCCTCACAATCCTGACACATTTCTAAAACATATTTTGAAAAGTTGTTTTAACATCCAGAATTTGTCAAGGATATACAACTTACGACCATTCATTTAATGAGGGTTCAAAGATACGACGGGCTCAGAAAAAAGTGTTTCACTACCACCCCTGCAGCCACATGATTGCAATTGGGGTACTTGGCAATCAGGCAGCATTTACAATCGGTTGCAGCATCCTGAAGTCACATGTGCCTATTCTAAACATTAAGACAATTTTTGACAAATCCTGAATGTTAAGATAACTTTTCAGAATATGTTTTGTAGCCTGGTTACCCGCAAAGAGAAAAGTCCATCGAGGAAGCTGGATTTGCTTAATGACCACATGGTTCACCTGATAACAGTGGTGATTCATTTTACAACCACTGTGAAAATGGTTGTAAAAATCGGGTCCAGTCATTACAACCACCCCAATGTGTGACCGAAATTCCGGTCCCAACTGTGATCATGAGTGAAGGACTACCTGCAGTTGTTTTGTTGTTGATGGTAATGGCTTCACTCTGTCCTTAGGCAGATACGATGGAAGGAGAGAACCAACCTGTTCCATTGAATGGTTTCCCATCCGCTCTTCTCCAGCTCAGCTCTGGAACGGGCACCCCTGTGGTCCCACACCGAAGCAGAACTGTGCTTCCCAGGATACTCTTCACTTTAGCCACTGAGGTGTGGACAACTGGACTCTGGCACTTTCTCAGCTCCACTTGACTGAAGAAGAGTCTAGTCTGCTTTTCAGGGTTGAAGCATCTCAGCTTTGGCTCAATGAAGGCTATGTTGGGGGACTGGAAGTTGAGGAAATGAGCCATTTCATAGACGCTGCAGTCACACGTCCACGGGTTGTCCTGTAGGCCTGGGGAAAGAGAAGCCGTTGGGAGGGTCAACCCGGAATGGGACAACTCACCACAGGGCAATTTAACAATTCAATTTATTGCTTAACGCATTGTAAGCCGCCCTGAGTCTCCGGAGAAGGGCGGCATATAAATCAAATTTTTTTAAAAAATTATTTAAAATAAATTAAAAAAAATATTTTAATTTTTGTCATTCACATTTCATTTTGTCCCTCCTTTTGTATTCTTTCTTTAGTGCAGTGTTTCTCAACCTTGGTAGCTTGAAGATGGGTGGACTTCAACTCCCAGAATCCCCCAGCCAGTGCTGGCTGGGGGATTCTGGGAGTTGAAGTCCACCCATCTTCAAGCTACCAAGGTTGAGAAACACTGCTTTAGTGGTTCTATTCCCGTAGGTCGTGGCGATTTGTCCTAGACTCGGGCCAACCATTACGTCATCAAAAGGGATCCTCAAGGGTCCCAGGTGACCTGTGAACACTCAAGTGGGGCTTCTATCAGGAGCATCTTTTTCCCTTGATCCTAAATGGCACCATTCAGTGTTTGCAGATGTACAACAAACAAGATTTGCTATCCAATTATTCAAAAATTGCTTGATCCTTCCACACAGAAGCTCTGGGGAATGACGCCAGCTGCAAAGCCTTTTCTGCTGCGGCCCTGATCCTGTGGAACACTCTGCCACTGGAGGGGAGAGCTGCTCTCACCCTTTTGATACCAGAAGGGAAGCAAAGCGTGGCTCTGCTGGTTGACTTTGAGCCCCACTCACCACTGAAGCTGGTTGATGGGATAAGAAGACCTCATCCCTACGCTGTCCATCTCTTACTCTTGGTATTTTGCATAGTTTTAACATTTTAATTCTAATATTATTATTTTTTTTCTATTTATCTTTTTATTACTTGTAAGCCACCCAGAGTTGCCTTACAGCAGAGATGATGGCATAAAAAGTAAGTAAGTAATAAGGGAAGGGAATGGAAGGGGAGGGGAGGAAGAAAGAAAGAGAGAAAGGAGGGAGGGAGGGAAGGAAGGAAGGAAGGAAGGAAGGAAGGAAGGAAGGAAGGAAGGAAGGAAGGAAGGAAGGAAGGAAGGAAATCTTTAAAGTAGCAATTAATTGAAGCATGGCTATTTAGAAAGGATCTAAACCAGTGCTGAAATCTGAACCGGTTTGCTACTGGTTCGCTGGCCGTGCATGCACACTGTTTGCCAAACTTGCACTGTGTGCACATGTGCAATATGCTCCAAAACGAAGCTTGGGAAGGTAAGTAGAACAGCGAGGGGGTGGAATCAGCTGTGGCACATGATTTAGCATTGTTAGAAAGATTCCTAGCAAAGCTAAACCCCACTGCACAGCTGATCATTGGAAATACCGGTTCGGAGGAACCGGTAGCTTTTTTTAACTACTGGTTTTTTAACTATCGCTTCAACTGAACCAGTAGCTTTTTTTTTACTACCGGTTTGCCTGAACTGGTAGTTTTTATCACTACTGGTTTGCCCAAACCAGAGCAAACCCGTAGCATTTACCCCTGATCTGAACTGAATTTCAATAGGAACTCATAGTAAAACATTGTAGCTTCACACAAAGCTATTATTATGGTTTGTCGTGCAGTCAGACAGATGTTCATACTGGATCTGGCATTTTTATCCACTTATCGAGTCCTTCCTAAAGACCTGGGATGGGCAGATGGATGTTTGATGGTGTTAAAGGACCAAGTCAGGCGGTCTTTTGCAATTGACTGATAGCACATTTATCAATGCCGTTGGGGTCGAAGCTGTGTTCCAGTTGTTTTGGGATTGCACCCAAGATGTTGTTGTTGTTGTTAATTGTGCAGTCAGCCAGAGGTTTAAACTGGATTTGGCATTTTTATCCTTACTAGGCAAATTTGCAAATATATATTTTTATTAAAAGGGCATCTCAGGGCCAAAGGTGATGGGAGAAAAAGGACCAGGAAGTGCTCACAAATGTTCACAGAATGTAACTTGGCAAAAATACCATTTTATTGCCAGATAGAGCCAAATAAAAGTTTTATGGCCCTTTTCTTCACGTAATGACTATATATCTCCAAGAATAGTTGAAGGCAGAAGGTAACTAATGATCTATCAGTAGCTTTCTAATAATATACCAGAGATCAGAAAGTATTTTCTCAATTTTAACAACAGCAACAATCAAATAGCTTATTTCTCACTCCATTTCCTATTACCATATTTTTTTTTGCACTATAAGATGCGCCAGACCATAAGACACACGTAGCTTTTGGGGAGGAAAACAAGAAAAAAAATCTGCCTCTGCCTCCCAGCATCCATCGGTATTCATCTGGCTAGCGTCCTTGCTGCAAACTGCAAACAGCCTGGTCAGCTTCAGCACGCTATTGCATCCTGATTTAGCATGAGCAGCTGATTGGCAGTTGGATCAGCCTCCTGAAATACCACCGATCAGCTGTTCCAGGCTGTGGGGATCACCACCAATCGCTGCCACCGATGGCTCCCACCACCAATAGGCAGCAGTGGCAGTGGCAATCCCCGCCGCCTGGAAAGGGCCAAAAACAGGACACACGGAGGCCGAAAATGGGGCAAGTGGAGGCTGAAAATGGCCAAAGGGTGGGGGCTGGTGGGTGGGCAGAGCTTCAGCAACATTCGCTCTGTAAGACGCACAGACACTTCCACTCACTTTTGGGGTGGGGGGGAAGTGCAAAAAATAGGGTATGTTACTGAAACCAAATAAACTCAAGCAATCAGAAGAGAATAATTGGGAGTTCCATCTAATGCTGAAACAAGTTATTGGATTCTAAGTCTGCCAGTTCTGCACTGGTAGATGGTGAAGATCTAATAAGGAGAACCAAACCGAAGGGTCCTTGTTGCTCTCTGAGCTTGGTTGTTTCCTTGCAGATGTTTCATTACCCAAACTAGATGACATCACCAGTGTCCTGAGCTACAAATATTCTCTTTATTGAAAACCAGGGCTTGCTTAACAGTGGTAACTGATAACCAGCAACTCCATCACTAAATGACGCAGTCACAAAGCTCTATGTCATGTGACACACCAAGTGATAGTAGAAATCCTAGAGCACTACCAGTGAAAAGATGGCCAACTGATTAGGGGACCGGAGGCTAAAACATACGATGAACGGTTGCAGAAACTGGGCATGGCTAGTCTAGTGAAGAGAAGGACCAGGGGAGACAGGATAGCAGACTTCCGATATCTGGGGGGCTGTCATAGAAAGAAGGGGGTCAAGCTATTTTCCAAAGCACCTGAAGGCCAGACAAGGAATAATATGGAAATTGATCAAGGAGAGATTCAACCTGGAAATAAGGAGAAAGTGAAAACAATCAACCCATGGAACAGCAGTTGCCTTCAGAAGTTGTGGGAACTTCATCACTTGAGACTTTCAAGAAGAGACTGGACTGCCATCTGTCAGAAATGGTGTAGGGTCTCCTGCTTGGGCAGGGGGTTGGACTAGAAGACCTCCAAGGTCCCTTCCAACTCTATTATTCTGTTCTGTTCTCTATTCTATTCTATTCTATTCTATTCTATTCTATTCTATTCTATTCTATTCTATTCTATTCTATTCTATTCTATTCTATTCTATTCTATTCTGACTACACGCCCAGGGAAGGTTCCCAGAGGGTTTTTCCCTGGAATGTAGCTTCTTCAACTATCAACAGAAGGAACTGGCCTTCCTTTAGTTTTTCTGACTCTCCTGGGGGGGGGGAGAGAGCTGGGCAGGGCTACAATCTCTCTACAGTGGCTCTTATAGACGAAACAGGTAGTCTTCTCTGCAGATAAAGCATTCTTACTCATGCAAGCTCAAATGAAAACTTGTGTTTGACGGTAAAAACGTCACACCTTTTTTTAAAAGAGAGCTTATCTCATTTGTGATCTTGTTCAGGAGGGGGGAGCGGATCTGGCAGAAATTACGGAGACCTGGTTGGGCCAAGAGGAGGGGTCCCCCTCGTTGAAATGTGCCCTCCTGGTTTCCGCGCATTTCATCAGCCAAGGTCACAGGGTAGGGGCGGGGGGTGGCAGTTGTTATAAAAGAAAGTCTTGGTCCGAGGGAGGCCACTGTTCCTCAGATTGCCGGATGTGAGTCCCTCCTGGTGAAGTGGGGTCATGGGGTACAGGTGGGCTTGCTGATCACATACCTGGATCCCTGCCACGTGGCAGTGGCCCTGCCTGAACTGCTCAACGTTATAGCCGGGATAGCGGTTGATACCCCGAGGCTTATGGTCATGGGGGATTTTAATCTGCCATCCATCAGTGAAGCGTCTGAGGCAGCACGGGAGTTCATGGCTTCCATGATGGCTATGGACCTGACCCAGTTAGTGCATGGCCCTACTCACACGGGGGGAAAACACTCTGGACTTGGTTTTTGTCTCTGGTCAGTGGCTGAATGATCTCGATATAGGGGATATAGTGACTGAACCCTTGTCATGGTCGGATCATTCTCTCCTTCGCTTTGACCTTTGAACCGCTACACCCCGCCGCAGGGAGGCAGAACCATTGAGGTGGTTCTGCCCCAGGCACCTGATGGACCCGGATCGGTTCCAGACAGAGCTTGGGCCATTTCCTGAGGCTCTGGCTCACGGCTCGACCGAAGACCTGACGGCCATCTGGGATAGGGTGGCCACTGGAGCTTTGGATCAGGTCGTGCCTTTGCAGCCTCTGACTCAGCACCGATCTCGCTTGGCTCCTTGGTTTACCGAAGATCTGAGGGAGATGAAGCACCGGAAAAGACGCCTGGAGAGGGGTTGGAGGGCCAGCCGGTCTGAATCTGACCGAACACTGGTAAGGTCTCATATTAAGACTTACCTTGTGGCGATAAAAGCGGCAAAATATAACTATTTTTCCGCTCTTATTGCATCATCAGATAATCACCCGGCCGCCCTGTTTAGGGTGACCCGCTCCCTGCTCCTTCAGGAAGCGCGGGAGGACCCCTTGGAGGGTAGAGCCAAGGATTTTGTACAGTATCTGTATGATAAAATCACTCAGATTCGGGAACACCTGGACTCTGATGGGGTAGATTCAGGGGGGAGGATGGAGGCAGGTCTTGAGAATATTATCTGGGAAGAGTTTGATTCTGTGACCCCCGAAGACATGGACAGGATACTGAGCAGACTGAACGCAGCCACATGTTTATTGGACCCGTGTCCCTCCCGGTTGGTGCTGGCCTCTCGGGAGGTTACACGAGGCTGGCTCCAGGGGATTATAAATGCTTCCTTGAGAGAGGGTGTCTTCCCCGCCACCTTGAAAGAGGCGGTGGTGAGACCTCTCCTCAAGAAGCCTTCCCTGGAACCAGCAGTGTTGGCTAATTACCGTCCAGTCTCCAACCTTCACTTTGTTGCGAAGGTTGTTGAGAGTGTAGTAGCGTGACAGCTCCCTCAGTACCTGGATGAATCAGTTTATCTGGATCCATTCCAGTCAGGCTTCAGGCCTGGGTAAAGTACAGAAACGGCATTGGTCACATTGGTTGATGATCTCTGGAGGGCTCGGGACAGGGGTTGCTCCTCTGTCCTGGTCCTATTAGACCTCTCAGCGGCTTTTGATACCATCGACCATGGTATCATGCTGCACCGGCTGGAAGAGTTAGGGGTGGGGGGCACCGTCTTGTGGTGGTTCTCCTCCTTTCTCTCTGACCAGTCGCAGTCTGTGTTGGCAGGGGGGCAAAGGTCGACCCCGAGGCCCCTTGTATGTGGGGTGCCACAGGGGTTGGTCCTCTCGCCCCTTCTGTTCAACATTTATGTGAACAGAACCCATTTATGGGTAAGATCATCTGTGGTTTTGGGGTGAAGTACCACCAGTATGCTGATGACACTCAGCTGTACATCTCCACCCCGGACCACCCCAATGATGCCCTTGAAGTGATGTCCCGGTGCCTGGAGGCTGTACAGATCTGGATGGGGAGGAACAGACTCAGGCTCAACCCATCCAAGACCGAGTGGCTGTGGTTTCCGACATCCCGATATAGTCAGTTGGTGCCATCACTGACTATTGGGGGCGAATCATTGGCCCCCACAGAGAGGGCTCGCAACTTGGGTGTCCTCCTGGACTCACAGCTGTCTTTAGAAGAGCACTTGACGGCTGTGGCCGGGAGGACTTTTTATCAGGTTCGCCTGATTCACCAGTTGCGTCCCTTTCTGGATCGGGACTCATTAAATACAGTCACTCATGCTCTCGTCACTTCCCACCTGGACTACTGCAATGCTCTCTACATGGGGCTCCCCTTGAGGAGCACCCGGAGGCTCCAGCTGATCCAGAATGCAGCCACGCGGTTGGTTATGGGAGCGACGTGGCGCTCCCATGTGACCCCCCCTCCTGCATGAGCTGCACTGGCTCCCGGTGGTCTTCCGGGTGTGCTTCAAGGTTTTGGTTACTACCTTTAGAGCGCTCCATGGCTTAGGACCAGGGTATTTACGAGACCGCCTTCTGCCACCAGTAGTCTCTCACCGACCAGTACGCTCCCATAGAGAGGGGCTTCTCAGGTGCCATCGGTCAAACAGTGTTGACTGGCAGCCCCCAGGGGGAGAGCCTTCTCTGTGGGGGCACCCGCCATCTGGAACGAGCTCTCCCCCGGAGATATGGAGGATCCCGGATCTGCACGCTTTCTGCTGTGCCCTCAAAACATTCCTATTCCAGCAGGCTGGCCTGGCCTAACTTTTCTTTTAAACTGTTTTTTAAATTTTAAATTTGTTTTATAAATTGAGGTGTTTTAAATTTGTTTTCTGGGCCAAATTATTTAATTGTATTTTAAATGGTTTTTTAATGTTTGTATTATATGTATTTTATCTTTTGGCTGTTCACCGCCCTGAGTCCTTCGGAAGTAGGGCGGTATATAAATTCAATTAATCATCATCATCATCATCATCTATCAGAGACATTTGATTAGATCCACATTCAGTCACACTTAGAAGAAGTTCATGGAAAGCAGTGAAGTTCAGTCCAACCAATCCAGGCTTCCATTGAATCTCCCCTAAGTATGGTTGATTCTGAATCCAGCCTATAAACTGGGTGGAAACTGGGTCCATCCTGATGGATTGAGGTGGCCCACATAATTTGTTTCTGCTGAAATGAAAAAAAAGAGGGTCTCTGCATTTTTTTTAACCACTCAGAAGCCAGCTGGCTTAACAACCAAATCTTACTTAAATACCCTTAATAAAGTAATATTTTTTACAGTGTCCAAAACTAGCATGTTAGAGTTACAGAGTTCAACAGCTAACAAATTCCCATCCTTTGCTACTCATCATCAACATCTGCTATGAAGGCAGTTGCTTCAATGTTAATATTGGGGTTGAATTGGATATGATGAATGAAATCCCACAGCTCCTACGGAACAGCAACAGCTTTATAGGTCTTCCATGGCTTCCAAGGCCAACAAATTCAGCTAGATCAAATCCAAGGATCCATGATCATGGATCATGCAGGCAGAGATTTCTTTTTCTTTTACTCACCCCCAATCGTCTTACCTAGGATGATCTTGGAATGGTCGTTAAGGAAGTATGGAACAGCTTGGAGATTCGACCAGACCACGATGAGTTCTTGAGGGAGCATCATCAGTTTATTGCTTGAGACATCTAGATAAGTGATGTTCCGGATATACTGAGCAGCATGAGAGGGTATGGAGGCGATCTGATTATTATGCAAATCCAGCAACCTCAACTGAGGCATGTTAGAAAGAGTTTCCCATGGAAAGGAAGTAAGAACATTGCCCGCCAGTCTGAGCTCCTGAAGCTGGTACAGGCCCCTAAAGTTACTCACTCGGAGGCTCACCAAGGCATTGTAGGGCATCCAGAGGAGCTCCAGGTTGTGAAGAGAATGGAAAGACTCCCCAGGAACTCTTCGGATTGCTGTTTTTTCTATCCTAAGTTTGAAAGTGTCTCCTGGGAAATTGACAGGTGTAAGGGTCATCTCCGGGTCATTGCACAGAATAGCCCTGCTGGGAAAAAAAGGATTTTTTTGAAATTATATATGGAACATGTAGGAGATGACCAGGCTGAGCCCGAGAGAGGGGTCAAATGTGTCACCGGTATCGAGTCCCTTTGCACCCCCAAGAGATCTAAGTCCATCCCACCTTGAATTCCACAGACTCTCATCTACCACCTATTTGCTTTGATAGTTAGTAGTTCAGGTTCTTGTAAAGAGCATAAACTTGCAATAAACCTTTATATTCACTTGAACTACCTGGACTTTTCTGCACATGACAGAACACTTTTAATCACCAGTTTTAACTGTGGGTGTACTTTGTTGTTTTTTCCCAGGCTCCCCTCACTATAAAAGCTGGAGCTGTGGTGACACAGTGGTTAGAATGCAGTACTGTAAGCTAATTCACTGCCCACTGCCAGCAGTTCGATCCTGACTGACTCAAGATTGACTCAGCCTTCCTTCCTTCCAAGGTCAGTAAAATGAGGACCCAGATTGTTGACTCTGTAAATCTCTCAGAGATGGCTGTAAAAGCACCGTGAAGCAGTATATAAGTCTATTGCTATTGCTATTGCTATCTATCCTATAATTTTCCATAAATGAGTTCACAGTCATTTAGTATGCTTCTGATCAATCTTTGGCTGAACTTCTGCTTTGTCAGTCTTGAAATGTCCTCCTGTTCAGCCATGGCTTTCAGAGGTTCATGGGGTGTCAAAAAGGCTGAAAAACCCTACACTCTTGGCCAGTGGTGGGCTGCTAGTGGTGGGAACAACCGGTTCGCCCGGAAACGAAAATGTGAGCACGCGGCATTGAAAATGTGCCTTCCACACATGTGCACAGCATCGAAATACCAGCGATTACATAGGATCTGATAGCACCAAGGCGGGTGGGCGGGGCCAGCCGCTTGTCAGAACTACCGGTTCCCCCGAACCGGTCCGAATCAGCAGCAGCCCACCACTGCTCTTGGCTCTCTGAAGAGCTGACTCTTACTCAAGTGCTGAACCAGGTCGTGAGTTGAGCCCAAAACTTATCTAAGTGGTTGGAGAACTTGGCTGGCTGGGGAATTCTGGAAGTTGAAGTCAACCCATCTCAAAGTGGCCAAGGTTGAGAAACAACTGTCCTAGGCTAACCAGTTTCTACAGTAGTACATAACTAAAGCACATTTACATAACCCTCTGGCTTATCCGCAAAGATAAGATATGTTCTGAACATTTTACAGCAGTAGATGCTTTTGAAGGGTCAGAGATTCTTCCAGCATGTTAAGCGTTGGAGATCTGTCCTTTCTCTCATCTTTTTTATTTTACTGGGAATGGGAGTGTGTGTTTGTTTGTCTTTGCAGATATACTGTAGATGTTGATAAAATCAGAAGGTGCAGAGGTGTGACAAGACTTGTGAAAATTGTTTAAATGAGCTGTTTTTAGTTGATCCTTCCCAAACTGTCTCATTTGTGTTGGCCGTGCCTCTTTCAAAAAATAATTTGACATACACGGTACCCAAACATTACATAAAATACACAAATCTTCCTCAGTTTAAGAATCTTTCTGACTATAAAGTCATGCCGATATATAGGTATTATTGATGCTTTCAGAGACAACAGGTTTTATTTTGAAGTGAACCTTTAGTCAAAATCTGCATGTATTTTTTTCAAATAAACACAAACTCATCCTGTTCTTTTAATGTATTTTAACCTGAGACAATTTTTCAGGGCTTGGAGTGAAATTTTATGTTATTGTTAGTTTCCCCGCCAAAAAAACACAGCCCGCTGAAGAACTGGTAGAATATACTCTCCATGTACACTGTTTAAAATTTATAAAATTCTGATGATTATTCTTTTAATATTTTTAGTTATGTTCATTGTTACACAGTTCACTGTTGATCACTTTCCCCATAAAATTGTGTAATGTTGATTATATTGTTTCTGTCTTAGCGTAAAAGTCCATCAAATGGCATTTCAGAAATCAGATTATGCTGTACTCTCTTGTTAATCCCACAGCACACAAAGTCCTTGTGGCTGTAGGAAGCCATTGGGAAAATAACTCAAATGCTGAGAGAAGTAACTCTCCTCTTCCACCAAGAAGAATGGTGGATGAACCTGCCCAGAAAACCTTCTTGGCACCCACTGAGTCATCAAGAAAAATTAGAGCGATTTTACCTGGCTCTCATCCTTTCATTGATGCTGTAGAATGAGCAGCTGCATTGAGAAGGGCAAAAACAGAGCATCCAAGGCAGACTTCCGAAGGTCAGGCAGCAAAGGAAACCCACCGTGACCCACATCATGATCCGGCCGTGGGTAAGGCATCCAGCTCCTGGTCAGAAAGGCTGAAGTTCTTCTCTGATCGCATCCATGGAATCCTTCACATTGTCTTCCTTTCCTCTTCTGCGCTGATCTCCCAGAGTCCTGCTGAAGTCACCAGATAAAATTGGATAGGCAGGGGATTAAGAACGAGGCTATTTGCACAGAGATGCTTATGGCTTCCTAGAGCAATCAGTAGAAAGATTTCTTCCCTCCCCTCTCTCTGGATCGGTTCAAAACAAGGTTTAGGAGCTCAGCTTTTGCCCACAGAAATTTCTCCTTCTTCTTCTTTTTAAACCGTGCCTAGTTTGAGTGAGGTTTTAGCTTTCCCTTCAGAGCATTCAGCCTTTCTTGAAGTGACCTTCCTCGATGTCAAATGATGTATGCATTTGACATTGAATTGGAAAAGATTGTTATAATACCATAGATACGAACAGGATGCTGAGACCCTAGAAAGAGTGCAGAGAAGAGCAACAAAAATGGTAAAGGCTCTGGTAGCTAAATCATAGAATGAGCGATTCAAGAGCACTAAGGGAACTAGGTATGCTTAGCCTAGTGAAGAGGAGGCTTAGGGGCAACCCGATAGCTTTCTTCCAGGACTTGAAGGGCTGTCACCAGAAAGAAGGGGTCGATTTATCAGGACAAGAACCAACCCCAAAGGTACTTTTTCAAAAGGCAACTGGACTTCAGAAAAAGCCCTTTTGGGACAACCATGACTGAGAATCTCCATGTAGAAGTTGCAATGGGTGGAAGCTGATAAGGCTGGAAGGCTGGAAATAAGGAGGAATTTCCTGACAGTGAGAACTGTCCTCCCAGAATTGCAGGTGCCTCCATCGCTGGAGGTTTTCAAGAAAAGATTGGACAGCATTTGTCAGGGATGGCATAAGGACGCCTGCCTTGAGGGAGACCTCCAGGGTCTTTCCCAACCCTCTTATTCTATGCTCTATGTTCTTTCCAATATTCTCAGGGGAAAAAAAGAGCATGTGGCTATAAAGAATCTGTATCACAGCCTAATACAAAAAGATGTTCATAAAAATGGATAAGTGAGATCTCAGATGTAATTCACAAGTTTAAAATATCTCATCATTTTCCTGATGCTCTCATAAAGCATAAGAATTCTGCTTAGTTGCCAGGATTTTCTATGGGTCTCCTAGGCAAGACCCTACCAGGACCAATTTTGGTTAGATTTTCAAGATGAGCCCGGTTCAACTAGGTGGTACCACTCAGTCCTGGGAATAATAATATTTATAGACTGTCATGATTAATAAGGCTGAATCAGAAACGGCTCAAGGAAGTGATATGTTTTGGGATGCAAAGAAACAAAGCAATCTCAAACACAATTCATAACCCTCCAATAAACTACATTTTGTGATCTATCATCTGCAGAATCATCACCAAAATTCTCTGACGCTTGGAAGAGCTGCATTCCTCCAAATATTGCAGAGACAATAGTTCCCATAGTTCCCATTGGCCAGGCCAATCAGATGGTGTAAGCAGCTCAGTAAACTCTAAGGTACCCCTGACTGTGGTGGATTGTAGTCTGGATTCCCAGGAGGGAAGGGCTGCCTTCCAGAAGAGCAAGAGACAGCAAAGTTTAGATAGTTTGATTGGGAGGAAGAGACTTAAGATGGCTCCTCCCTAGAAGTTCTCAGAGCATATCCTTATTGATGCAAGTAGTTGCTTTGACTGTAATTTTGTTGCTTGTATCCTTGCGATTTATATTGATATTGATTGTTTCTTAGGATGATTTGATTGCTTATTGTACCATATGACTGTCACTGGGTGTTGTGCCTTGTGATTCTTGAGTGTATCTTGTCTTTTTATGTACACTGAGAGCATCTGCACCAAGACAAATTCCTTGTGTGTCCAATCACACTTAGTCAATAAAGAATTCTATTCTATTCTATTCTATTCTATTCTATTCTATTCTATTCTATTCTATTCTATTCTATTCTAGTTTGGCAAGATTCTGTCTATAGATAAGGAACAGTAAAGGAAACTGTTCCTTACCTATTGACAGAAACTTACCAAACTAAAGCAACTACTTGTAAAGGAAACTGCTTTGGAGTAACTCAACATATCTATCTTGGTTTTCTAGCCTGGCAGAGACACTTTGTACCCTATAGGCAGGTAGGGAATTGCCATCAGTGGGCTTTGTTTCCATTGTCAAAGAAAGACCCTTCATTTTAGACTACATTGAACGAGACTGCTTGTGATTCTCTACCTGTCTGCATAGAAGCACGACCATCTTAGTCAGTGGTGGCAGGAAAATAGAAGGAGTTTGGTAACACCTTTTCTGATGAAGACATTGCATTAAGAGGCAAAAGCTTTCTGATGAAGTAATCTACAGCTCCCTTCACCTTATTTACTGGTTTGTACTTCTTATTCGCTTTTGCATTTGCTAATGAAAGAGTTTGTTACACAAGAGAAACAGAAGGATAATGAATGAAAAAGGATTATTGATGGTGTTCCTTGCCAAAAACACAAGGAAGAATCTGATTAAATGGACAGCAATGTACTGATTTGATGTTATTTGTGAGTCAACATTAAAAACACATCATACTGATAAACTAAACAAGTCCAACACTTTAATTCAGTTCTCATCTGCTGATGATAGCAGATCCTTTGTTGTACAAACTCTCGTCTAGTTGATGATTGTGCAAAACCAGAGAAGGAGATGATTCAATCATCAAGGCCAGTGGATCACAGAAAAGAAAATATCTTCTTTTCAATAAAAATGTATTTAATAGAATAGCCAATAGAAAATAATGAAAGGATGAGTAGGTTCATACCTTATTAAGTGGTGAAAATATGTATAAAACCAGTGGAACCGCTTGCCTCCAGAAGTGGTGGGTGTTCCATCATTGGAGATTTTTAAGAACAGGTTGGACAAGCATTTGTCTGCAATGCTGTAGGGCCTCCTGCTTGTGCAGGGGTTGGACTAGAAGACCTTCAAGGTCCCGCCCAACTCTGTTATTCTGCTATAACTTGTGGGATTTGTGGATTACATTATAAGAGAAGACATTGTAGATACTGGAGGAGGAGGAGGAGGAGGAGGAGGAGACTCATGTTGGTAGCTGAAAACCAGGGGAAGTCTGGAAGCATCTTTTCAGACTAGCACATTTTATTATTGGTCATGAAGTTTTACTTCTTTAAGAAAATTTTTGCAAGCATCATAGGGATTGGAAAACATTTTCCAAGGCACAAGATGTTCACCAACCTCCCTATCTCAGACAATTCCCATAGACCTTTGCAGAAAATTGGTTTCAGCCACAACTGGCAATTCTGGAAATGAGCCTAGCACAGGACTTTTATCTGTGATTACATTTTATTTTTCTACCTAGATCTCCCTGGTAGGAAGGTCTCAAAAATTCAGAGTTGTCTTCCTTTGCTGCCAATATGGCATTTTCAGTTCACATTCCATTCTCTTTCAGCAGCTTTGAGTGCTAAGAAGCTTAAGTGGATTGATAGAACAGTTCACATCACATGCTCTGACTTTCGTTAGCGTAAGAATTTTGTGCAAAAATAAAATGACTGTGGATTTTATGATGGTTTTATTGCTCTCTTGATACCGCACTTTATTCTTCTTGTCTCGGCCAGGTAGACTTCCAATAATAATAATAATAATAATAATAATAATAATAATAATAATAATAAAATAATAATAATAATAATAATAATAATAATAATAATAATAATAATATTATTATTACTATTATTATTATTATATTTCTATACCGCCCTTCTCCCGAAGGACTCAGGGCAGTGTACAGCCTAATTAAAAACAGAATAAACATCAATTTAAAATAATTTAAAAGTATTAAATAAGTTTGGCTTAATTTAAAACCCCAAAAATTTAAAACATCTAATTTAAAATTATGTTGCTAACCCAGCCTGGCGGAACAATAGGGTCTTGAGTGCGCAGCGAAATACCCGGAGGTCAGAAATCTTTCGTATTTCGGGGGGCAGTTCATTCCACAGGGCTGGGGCTCCCACAGAGAAGGCCCTCCCCCTGGGTGTCGCCAGCCGACATGACTTGGCCGATGGCACCCTGAGGAGACCCTCTCTGTGGGAGTGGACTGGTCGGTGGGAGGCTATTGGTGGCAGAAGTCGGTCTCGAAGGTACTCGGGTCCTGTGCCATGGAGCGCTTTAAAGGTGGTGACCAATACTTTGAATTGCACCCGGAAGACCACTGGGAGCCAGTGCAGCTCGCGCAGGAGGGGTGTCACATGGGCGCAACGGGTTGCACCCATAACCACCCGCGTGGCCGCATTCTGGACCAGTTGGAGCCTCCGAGTGCTCTTCAAGGGGAGCCCCATGTAGAGAGCATTGCAGTAGTCCAATCGGGAGGTGACAAGGGCATGAGTGACCGTGCGCAAGGCGTCCCGATCCAGAAAGGGGCGCAACTGGCGAATCAGGCGGACCTGATAAAAGGCCCCCCTGGCCACGGCCGTCATATGTTCTTCTAAAGACAGCCGTGCGTCCAGGAGGACACCCAGATTGCGAGCCCTCTCTGTGGGGGGCAAAGATTCACCCCCAATAGTCAGTGATGGCACCTGCTGACTATATCGGGACGCCGGAAGCCACAACCACTCAGTCTTGGAAGGGTTGAGTCTGAGCCTGTTCCTCCCCATCCAGACCTGCATGGCCTCCAGGCAGCGAGACATCACATCAAGGGCATCGTTGGGGTGGTCTGGGGTGGAGATGTACAGCTGAGTGTCATCAGCGTACAGGTGACGACTTCCCTTGAAGAGAAAGAAGGCTGAAGATAATAACTTGGAGCAACTTAGATCCTGTGACAATACCTCTAGCTCCATCAGACAACCACATCTGCCTATCCCAGGTCTTTGGGGAGGACTCGATAGGTGGACAAAAGTGCCAAATCCAATCTAAACATCTGGCTTATCATGCAACCAAACCTTATAATAATAGAACTGGTGGGAGCACAAAATAGACAAAATTATAGTAAAGGCTGCATTAACAGAGGGACAGAATCAAAATCACCTTAAGTGTTAAAACCACTTTATAAGGCCTTGGTAAAGCATCCGGCTTTGTTTCAAATTAAAATTTGAAATATTAAAAAAAAAAGATGTTGATACTCTAGAAAGAGTGCAGAGAAGAGTAACCAAGATGATTAAGGGACTGGAGGATATGTCTAGTTTAATGAAAAGAAGGACATTATAGCAGTCTTCTAATATTTGAGGGGTTGCCACAAAGAAGAGGGGGGTCAACCTACTCTCCAAAGCACTTGAAGGCAGGACAAGAAGCAAAGGGTGGAAACTAATCAAGGAGAGAAGCAATTTAGAACTAAGGAGAAATTTCCTGACAGTTAGAAAAATTAATCAGTGGAATGTCTTGTCTTCAGAAGTTGTAAATGCTCCAACAGTGGAGGATTTTAAGAACAGATTTGACAATTATTTGTCCAGAATGTAATAAAGTCTTCTGCTTGAGTAGATGGTTGGATTAGAAGACCTCCAAGGTTCCTTCCAACTCTTATTCTGTTATTCTGTTAAGGAGATAACAACATCCCTACCAAAAGTAGGGCAAGCTACTATATATAAACAAGGATCAAACTCCACACACTAGTACTGATGATGTTACCTTGTTGGGTAATGAAAGGTCTCCAAGCAAACAACCAAGCTGAGATAGCATCAAAGACTCCAAAGCATATTTTTGCTTTGTTTCACAATAAGAAACCCCCTCTCCTTTTCTCCTTTGTTCCCCTGATTAGTGATTTAATCATATTTGTTTATTTCTAGTGACTCCCTAATTACATAGTATTTGCTTTGGCCACCATTCTTGTATTTTTTAGCTCTTTTTTCCCCCCAGAATTAGCCGGGTCCATTCTTAAAACTTGTCTCTACAAAGGCTTCTTGTGATCGCACAGAATGTTTCCTTTTGCATTATGCAGTTCCAGGCATGGGAGGGATACGAGGAAGAATTTTTCAGGGATTGTTGGGTTAGGATTAACACACAAAGCTTTTCTGTAAGTTTTTCCACGTGGTCGGGCCCTTTAAGAAGATAAGATTTGTAGGTGATTGGATGGAAGAAAGAAAATTCAGGACAAAGAATTGACCAGGGCAGTTAGCTGGGGGAAATCCAGACCTTGGAGGAGGGCTGGAGTCTTTTCCTTTTTTATTGCAAACATGGTTAATTCAGCATATCCTATTCCTGATGGTTTCACTGAAAGTGAGGTCTTCACCATTGGCACAATCCTGCTGGTTGAAGGTAAGATGGGCTGCTTTAAAGAGTCAGAAGGCTGTTTCTGCCATTCTCCGCCATTTCAGACTTTAAGAATGGAACAAGGAAGAATTTAAGACAGAAATTACACTTATATGTTGACTATCTCTCTTTCCTATGGATACTCCAAAGCCTTCAGTTTGGACAACCTTGGTCGACTCTGAACTTAATTTTAGTACATGTGTTCAAGGCTCCAAAACATTTGAGGGAAGTATCTAAGGAAACATCTCTTCCTACTCAACGCTGCTCAAAGTGCTTGTGATACGCTATGCAATATCAGTGAAGAGAGGTGGTTGTTGTTGTTGTAACTCTTGATTGTGGAACCTTCACCCCGTCTCCCTCTCATGTGTGCAAATACATTACATAGTACTTAATACTAGAGTCTAGAAGCTAAACTGTACAATGAACTATTTATTTATTTGTTTGTTTGTATGTTTTCATCAAGCATGTATTAAATAACAGATATAAGTATAAACATTTTTATGAATACATGAAATGGATATGAATAAAAGGGAAGATTAGGACCGGGACGGTAGGCACGCTGGTGCGCTTATGCACGCCCCTTTTCCCAGATTGAGGGAACTGGGTATGTGTAGTCTAATGAAGAGAAGGGCGGAGGGTGATACGATAGGGATCTTCCGGTACTTGAAGGGCTGTCACAGAGAAGAGGGGGTCAGCCTGTTCTGCAAAGCACCTCAGGGCAGGACAAGAAGTAACGGGTGGAAGATTGTCCAAGAGAGATTCAATCTAGAACTAAGGGTTAGGGTTTCCGGACAGTTTCCTGACAGTGAAAACAATTAATCGGTGGAATGACTTGCCTCTGGAAGTTGTAGATGCTCCATCACTGGAGGCTTTCAAGAAGAGATTGGACAGTCATTTGTCTGAAATGGTTTCCTGCTCAAGCAGGGGGGTTGGACTAGAAGACCCCTAAGGTCCCTTCCAACCCTTGTTATTCTTCCCAGTTCACAAGCATGGGAAAGAACAAGAACAAGAAACAAGAAAATCTTATCACTGAAGTCGGAAGGAATTTGAGAGTCTTGGTCCAGAGACCACAAGATTACCCCATACGTGGATGTGGATGCATCTGCCTATTTTTGTATCTTACTTACGTTGTCTTGGTTGGATAGTGCAAACCATCTTGATAATAGAGAAAAGGCAAAATAAAATAGAACATAGAATAATGGGGTTGGAAGGGATCTTGGAGATCTTATGACCCAACCCGTTGCCCATGGCAGGAGATCCTATAGTACCATTCCAGACAAATGACTCTAACATCTATTTTTTCCTAAGAAGTGAGGCCCACATCTGACTCCAAAGCAATACTATTGCCAATTATATAGTCTAAGAAAGAATTAAGCATGAGAGGGCCTTCCCTTTCTCCTCCAGCGCCTGATCCAGGTGCCAGAAGTCCTTAAAGATTCAGGCATGTTCACCCCATTGAGTTATTTACTTACTTAAGAGGTAGGGCAAATAATAATAATCCCAACCATGTTATTTCCACCTTCTTAACAATAACTTTCCTTTCCCTTTGCTAACAAGTGACTTGACCTTTCTACTTCTGTCCAAGCCAATAAAGATGTTCTCTCTGTGAATTCATAGAGGAGATATTAAGTGGTGCAGCAACAAAAAAATCCTATTTCTGGACAGATTTTCCCTGAAGGCAGAGAAAAAGGTACATGAAACGGAAATGGTTCAGTTGATGGCAAAGGAATATTACAACATCGTTGTCTGTTGTAAAAGCATTTAGGTTGGGGGGGGGGCTTCTAAAAATGAAATAAAGAGATATTTCTGTTTAGAGATATAAGTCATGAAGATCAAGTTTGATCTACCCTGCTTTCTTTGTATAAATGTATGCATATAAAATTTATTGGTTTATACATTTATTTACCAAAGCTTTATTCTACTGCATTATCTGAAGATTCCTGATGGTCTATAATGAAAATCTTCTTTGTTCTTTCTGCATCTGCATTGAAAGTAGCAGTCTAAACTATTTTGGTGAAATATTCGGAATTAATAGCGAGCTACACAAAATCCTAGAAAACCACAGAACTTTGCATTATACTATGCAAAAGAGTCCTTTATTTTGGAAGCTTGCTTATAGAGAGTCTTCCCTTTGTCTGGCATTTAAATCTTAGAATCACGGGGTTGAAAGGGACTTTAGAGGTCTTCTAGTCCAACCTCCTCTCTGGAGGGAGCGTTAAAGCCGCAATCCTTTAAAAGGGAGGGGGGGCTTTCAGAGAAATAGACACCTGGATAGGAAACTGAGCAATTCCCTCTTGCTATAGTTATTGTTAATGTTAAACTGTAAAGATTTTCAATTTAAATCTATATATGTAAATTAATATCTGTTCTTTTTTACATAGATATGACCTTTGTGGTTCTCGTTTTGGAAACAGATTTCATCTCTTTGGGCTATTCTAATGCCTTATAGAAGGTGTTTTTTTTTTTCCTTTTAACAGCAACTTTATATAATATATTAGATGCAAGTTTTGAAATTCAGATGACAACCCTTTGGCTGGCCTTGTTGATCTCAGAGGTTAAGGAAGGTTGGCCCTGAATGGAGAGTCACTGAAATTCCAGGGTCTTGAAAAAATAATTCCCAAGAATAGACTGGCAAACTAGTTTCATAAGACTGCCAAAAAACCTGCCTGGAATCACCCAAAGTTGCGTTTCATTCAAGAAATCTTTATTTTGAAGTCCAACTCATGTTGAAAAATAGTTTACCCCTAACGGGGGTGAAAACACTGTTTTAATAAACATAGTAAAACCTAGGTCCTACCTGACCTTTCTTTTCAAACAAAGCACCCACAGCATTGGTTAAAGAGAGATGCTTTTGTGTCCACATGAGAAATACCTTTCTGAAATGAAGGGATTGCATGACTCAACCAACAGTCACCACCAAGCCAGTTCCAGATCATGAGCAAGCCGTGGCTGTTTTTCTCTCTCTGACATTCTCTCTTTCGTGAACGAGAGACCCTGGAGAAGGGAAGGCAGACAGTTGCTGTTCCTTCTTTTCAAAAGAGCTAAATTTGGCAGTAGCCAAACACTTTCAGAAGGCAATTGTCTTGGGGTTTTGAAGAGCAGAAAGGCGGGGGAGGGGGGAAGAGGAGGAGGGAGAGGAAGGGAGGGAGAGAGGGGGGGCGAGAGAGGGAGAGAACAACAACAGACAAGGTACAGTCTAGGTTAGTCTGGTTTTACAACTCCAAAGATGTCGGCACCTGACTCTCTTCCAGAAGGATTTACTGAGTTCGAAATGATGAGCTTTGGCACAATGATGCTGACGGAAGGTAAAGTGGGATGGTTATGCAACATAGACCAAACTGGATTCAGGTCTTCTTCCTGAAATTACATTGCTAAGCAAAAAAAAAAGTTTCAGAAGCCTGACAGTTGGACGTCACAGAATTTATAGTAAGGACTTCATCTAAGTCATGCAGCCTAAATTATTTATTTTTGGGGGGAACTTGACCAGATGAAGAATTCATAAAACGTTCATTGACAGAAAATGTACATTTTCCATATTGTTTTGCATATTTAATCTATATGAGATATACAAGTTATTGTTCTGAATAAACGAAGTTGCAGCGTTTTATACCTTTGTTGTTGTTTGGATTTGTGCTGATTAACCTGGTGTAAGGGTCTGAGACAAAATTACAAATCACAATAAAATGATTCCTTTTTATATTTTAGCTTTGTTTGGATTCTCTCTGAATGTGTTGTCCATCGTTGCTTTCTGGAAGATCAAGGAGATTCAAACCCCTGGCAACTTTCTGATACTCAACCTCGCTTTGTCTGATTGTGGCATTTGCATCAACGCTTTCATCGCTGCTTTCTCCAGCTTCTTAAGGTAGGCTTTATTTATTGGGAGAGATGGCTATTTTGTGCCTCCGCTTAAAAATAGCACTGAAACAACTGCAGAGAGCTGTGTGTCCTCTGAGCATGCCCTGTCTCCAAACTGATGCTCACTCAGAGCAGAGAATCATTTTCAGTACCTAACTTCTCGTTCGTGGCACTTTTCATGCAAATATAAGTCTTTGGCCATTCTAACTTGAAGATACATCGTTCCTGTCTGGGGGAGAAGGGAGGGAGGGAGGGAGGCCAGGTTATTCTGTAAAGCAGTTCTATTCCCAGGCAGAATTGACAAGGAGAAGTTGCCACCAGAAAGGGGCTTGGTTGGTCTTAAAAACGCTAGGCAGGTCAGAACTGGTTAATATGTGGATGGGAGATCTCCAGAAAAGCTTGGAGTGATGAAGTGGAAAGCCAAAATATACCCAAAGAAGGCAAAAAAGGTTGAACTGAGAAGAAAAAAAATAGATGTGGGCATATTCTGCTGTGCCCTTAAAACTTTCTTTTTTTCATCAAGCCGGGCTGGCTTAACATATTTTTAAATTTTTAATTTTTAATTGGTTTGTCATTTTAAACTGGGGCCAAATTAATATATATTCTTTTAATTGTTCTTAATGTTTGTATTGTATGTTTTTATCTGGCTGTACACCGCCCTGAGTCCCCTGGGAGAAGGTGCGGTATATAAATTTGAAATAAAATAAAATAAAATAAAAAATAAATATTGACAGAAATGGAGGATGCCTCAAGAGAGTCATGTTCTACCCAACACCAAAATCACATGAAGCATTAGTGGCTCTTTATAAAGCCTTAGGAAGGCCACGTCTGCAATACTGCATCCAGTTTTGGTCACCCCCGTTACAAAACAGATACTGAGACTTTGGGAAAAGTGCAAAGAAGAGCAACTGACTGTTCACCGCCCTGAGTCCTTTGGGAGAAGGGCGGTATAAAAATTAAATGAATGAATAATAATAATAATAATAATAATAATAACTAAGATGGTTGAAGGCCTGGAGACTAAAACATATGAAGAAAGGTTGCAGGAACTGGATATGGCCAGTCCAGAGAAAGGAAGGACTAGGTGAGACATGATAGCAATATTCCAGTATTTGAGGGGCTGCTACAAAGACAGGGGGGGTCAACATTTTCCAAAGCACCAGAAGGCAGGACAAGAAGTGATGGATGGAAACTAATCAAGGAGAGAAGCAACCTGGAATTAAGGAGAAACTTCCTAACAGTGAGGAGAATTAACCAGTGGAACAGAAGTTGCCTCCAGAATTTGTGGGTCTCCATCACTGGAGGTTTTCAAGAAGAGACTGGACAGCCATTTGTCTAAAATGGTCTAGGGTTTCCTGCTTGAGCAGGGGGTTGGACTAGAAGACCTCCAAAGTCCTTTCCAGCTCTATTCTGATTGATCTCCTACAATAGCACATTCAGACATTCGAAAGTGGCTCAAGAAAAGCAAACAAAACTGGCAGGAAGAGGCATTTGCAAAGGAGAAGTTGGAGGTAGCCAAAAGAATTAAGGACCCTTTTTTGTGAGGCTGTTTTAAATGTCTCAGGCGGCATCTCAGAACCTTCCAACAAAGGAGCTTTGACTTTGTTTCTTGGTTCCCATGTTTAGAACCTGCTTCCTCACTCTCAGAACCAGAGAAAACATGACACATTTTCACATTGCCTTGTATAATTCATGACTCTCTTTAGCAGTGCGTGCTGTGAATTTTGGATGCTATCATCTGGAAGACATCCAATACTGCCAGAAAGAATCTTTGAAGCGTCCATTTTGCTAACATTTAAGGGAAAAAATGCTCAAGTCCTCCTCCTGACATGTTTTCCTACCGTGTCATTGCTTCCCTTTCAGATATTGGCCCTACGGCTCTGACGGCTGCCAAATTCATGGCTTTCAAGGATTTTTAACAGCCCTAACAAGCATTAATTGTGCAGCTGCAATTGCGTGGGACCGATATCATCAATATTGCTCCAGTAAGTCTCTGGCTGGTTATTATTATTTTTTAAATGTATTAGTTGCATAATTTAGGGATAACTGGACATACAGAAAATGAGAATTGTGGCCAAAAGGCACCTGTACATTAAATGATCTAGAACTGTGATGGCGAACCTTTGGCACGCGTGCCAGAAGTGGCACACAGAGCCATCTCTCTGGGCATGTGAGCCGTCGCCTGTTCCTCTTCCGGGTTCTGGCGCGCTGCATAGCTGGCCTTCACAGGAGTGAAGTTTCTGGCATGCAGGAGTGCTAGAAACTGAAAGAGCAGCCACCCAGGGCGCATGCGTGTGCCAGGAAAATGATATTCCGGTTTCCGGCATGCACATACACGCCGGCCACCTGGTCTTCCAGTTTCTGGTGTGCATGCATGCGCAAAGACCAGCTGGCCAGTGCACATGTGTGCACCAGGAACCGGAAGGTCATCTTCCCGGCGTGCGCATGCGGCTGCTCTTCCGGCACTCCCACATGCGTGAAGACCAAGCGGCTGGTGTGCCAGAACCTGAAAGAGCAAGGAGAGCAGAGCTGCCAGACAGGGTGGGTGGGCCGGGGCTTCCCGCCCAAGTGGGCTTCTTGCGCGGTCCCAACCCTCCAGCCACCGACGCCCATCTGCTCTGATGCACAGGGCAGCAGGGCAGCATTTGCTGGCTGGGCGGAAGGCTCCCTGCCCGCTGCTCCTGCCGCTGCGAGGGGTTTAGGTTTAGGTTTACTTGGATTTATATACCGCCCTTCTCCCGAAGGACTCAGGCGGTGAACAGCCAAAGATAGAACACATACAATATAACATTTAAAAACAATTTAAAACATATTAAACAAATTTGGCCCATACTAATTAAAACACCCCCTTTTTAAAAGCAAATTAAAATTAAGCAATTAAAAGAGTTAGGCCAGCCCAGCTTGTTGAAATAAAAAAGTCTTGAGGGCACGGCGGAAAGTGCGTAAATCCGGGATCCTCTGTATCTCCAGAGGAGCTCGTTCCAAAGGGCAGGTGCCCCCACAGAGAAGGCTCCTCCCCTGGGGGCCACCAGTCAACACTGTTTGACCGATGGCACCCTGAGGAGCCCCTCTCTGTGGGAGCGTACTGGCCAGTGAGAGGCTTCCAGTGGTAGAAGGCGGTCTCGTAGGTACCCAGGTCCTAAGTCATGGAGCGCTCTAAAGGTGGTAACCAAGACCTTGAAGTGCACCCGGAAGAGGGTCAGCGGCGTTTCTTGCGCTGCCACTTCCGGATGGGATGCTGGAGCAGCCAGGAGGAAAAGGAGGGGTAGCCACCATCGGGAAGGCAAACTGCCCCAGGAGGGACAGAGGAGAGCTCAGGTCCTCACGCATGCAGATGCTGCTGAGGGGTAAGAGGTGCGCCAGCCGGGAAGCAGCCGGGAAGGGTGGGTTGCACTGGCTTGTTCTCGGTGGTGGGCTGGGGAGGCACTTCATCCTGGCCAGAGTTGGGGCAAAGTTCTCCCGCCTGCTGGCCCCCCAACCTGAGCCCCAGGAATGCCAACGCCCCTTACCTCCAAGGTCAGGAAGGGGCTCCGGCTTTCCAATGGAGGGAGGTGGCATTCCCCACCCAACTCTCTCCCCATCCAGGGCTGTGGAACCCGGTTGTCAGAGGGGACCCCTTGTTGTGGTCCTGCCACCCCAACAAGGATGAGGGGGGCAGGCAAGGGTGGGACAGGAAGGCATGAGGAACCCCCAAAAGGCCAGGCAGGGCCAGCGCATGCTCATCGGACAAGTGGTCTTTGCACGTGCATGCACGTCAGAAACTGGAAGACCAGGTGGCCAGATCATCTGCTCTTCCTGTTTCCAGCATGTGCGCACGCACTCCCCTTTTCAGCAGTCGGTGCGGAAAAGGTTCACCAACACTGATCTAGAAGGATGACCAAACAGTCATTTAAAAATAAGAATTCTCAGACTTTAAGGTGGCAATCTTGAAAGGAAACTTTAGGAATGTATTTCCAAACCTTGGCCACTTTAAGATATGTGGAATTCTCTCAGAACTCTGCTCCAAAATGAATACTAAGTCGTCTGCAAATGCTAGTACTTTGTATTTTCTTTTTTTATTTCCAAACCTTTTCTTTCTGGATCTTGTTGGATCTTTCTAAGCAAGACTTCCAAAGTTAATATGAATAATAAAGGAGATAGTGGACATCCTTGTCTTGTGCCCTTGCTTATGTTAAAATTTTCTGTTATATCCCTATTTACTATTACTTTCACCATTTGTGTTGCAATATTTTTAGGATCAGACTCAATAATGATAATAAAGATTAGAGGTTTAAATATATTTCTCTTTAATCATAACAGGCATTCTATATATTCACTGAATATTCACAGATAGAAGCAAGGAAAATGGTGAGGGTGGCTCCTTATATATACAAAGGGCGGAGTCAAGAATGGGAGTGGTGAATTATGAATACATTAGGAAACAAAGAATAAGTTAACCCCCGATATCCCATATATACATTATTTACACATTAGGGAATAAGGCATTTACATCTGACAATTTGTTTGGAATATATTGCTTGGATCATATTTGCAAAGTTTTCAGCAAAGTCCATACATTTTAATTGTAGTATTGTAAATTGCCAGTTCATATTATCAAAGGCTTTTTGCACACCCAAGAAGGTCAACGTTAGCTGTTTTTCAGAGTGAGCTTTGTCAGATCCCTAAGAGTGATACTGCCAATCAATTTTTACAAATGCGTTATTGCTTAACGCATTGTAAGCCGCCCTGAGTCTCCGGAGAAGGGCGGCATATAAATCAAATTTAAAAAAAAAAATGGGAGAAGGGGGAGAGTTGGATTCAATTTACTAGCATTGCCTGTGTCAACAGATATTTTACAACCTATATCCTGGCGCCAAAGAGCCCTGAGATCCTCTTAACATGGAGGAATGTTTATGATAGCCATGTGGGTTGTTTCACTTTAAAGGATAACACGGTGAATACATGTTTGCTCGGTTCTCAGGAAAACTAGTAAAGAAAATATCTTCACACTTGTGTATTGGCTAAAATCTGCATTCTGACTTAAAGGAAGGGGTGTCTACCGCTTTAATCCTTCTTGTCTTGCCTAAGGTATTCAGATCTTGTTTTAACTGGGTTGCTATCACTTCTGCTTAATAAAAGGTTCCTTTTGAACAACCACGTTTCAAGAGTTTTTAGTTTCTTAAGTGGGAAGGAGAGGCAATCATTACAGTTCCAATGCATTCACAATAACCCTCACATTATTTTTCACTTGTCTTTTAGGTAGGAAACCATTCTGATCAGGGGGTATAAATTCATTTAGAAATCTTTTTAATCTCTTTGAAATTATAGAGGCATATATTTTATAGTCTACATTTAATAATGATATTGGTCTGTGGTTTCTTTATCTGTTGAGTATCTGAATCTTCTTTTGATATTAAGGTAATGTATGCTTCTGTCCATGGGTTGGGGAGCTTGGCCCCTAATAGCACTTCATTATAGACCTCCAGCATTGGTTTGTAAATTTTTATATAGTTCTCCCAGAAGCCCATGCGGTCCAAATGTTTTATTGGTTTTTTGCCTTTTACTTGCTTCTGTTAATTGCATTGTCGTTCCATGTCAGGGTGTGTAAGGACCGGTTCGGCGGCAAACAGTCATTTCATCCTTCTGGTATGCCAGGACAGTTGGCCAGCTTTTTCCAAATATTGTTATATTGCATCGTCTGACCTTTTTTCTTGACTGTAAAGTTTCCTGAAAAAATTTGTGGATTATTATTTTTTTAATAATAATCATCTATCAATTTGTATATCATTTTCTTCTCTTTCTTTTTTTTCAATTTATATGCTAGCCATCTATCTGGCCTATTTGCATCTTCAAAAAAGTTTTGTTTCGCCATTTTAATTTTTTGTGCCATTTCATCTTGTATTATTAGGTTTAGTTTTATTAGTTCAATTTGTTCTTTTATCTTATTATTTTGTGTATCATTCTGCAATTCTATATCCAGTTTTTTAAGTTCTTCTTGTAGTGTATTTTGCTGTTATTTCTTTTTTTTTTTTTACTTTTTCTTGCTATATGTGTTATCTCTAATCCTCACATGTATGCTTTTGCTGTGTCCCAAATAATTTGCACTGATGTTTCTTCTTCTTTCTATTTTCTTTAAAGAAGAATTCCATTTCTTTTTTTTTTGAATTGTTTGTGTGAACTCCTTATCTTTTAGAATAGTTTGGCTCAGTGTCCATCTCGGTTTCTTCCTTTGTCCCTTCCATGTACTTTTTAATGGATTGTGGCCAGCCCATATGTTCACTTCTATATCTACCTCCTGGACATCTGTTCTTATTTCTGATGACATCCACACCATATCTATTCTCGACAATGATTGATGTCTATTCGAGTAGAATGTATATTGGTTTGTCTTTGGGTTTGGGTTTGTCTCTCCATATATCCTATAAGCCTATTTCTTATGTCATTTCAAGAAAGGATTTTGGGAGTGTCCTTCTTATTTTTTTACTTTTTTTACTGCTTCTGTAATCTATTTTGGCACCCACAATTGCGTTGAAATCCCATATCATATGTATGCTTTCATAGTCCATTTCTGTTATCTTTTTGTGGAGTCTTTTATAGATTTCTTCCTGCTTATTGTTTGGAGTGAATATTGCAATCAAAAGAATCTGTTTATGGTTTATTACCACCTCAACCATTAATATTCTCCTTTGTCTGCATATACTTGTTGGTTCTCTGACATATAATGCCACTCCTCTTTTCTTTTGATGTGCTAATGCAGAGTATAATTTCCCAATTTTGGGGTATTCCAATAGGTTGCCAAATTGTTTTTTAATATGCACTTCTTGAAGACAAATTAGGTCCAATTTTAATCTTTGTAGTTTTGTGAAGGTTTTTTTTTTTCTTTTCATGGAAGAATTCAATCCATTTATATTAATTGATAGCATCTTTATTTCTTCTTCCATCTTTTCATTTATATATAGGTCTTGTCCTTCTAGTTGTTCTTATCTCTCTGTGTCTTTTTATTCTT